AGGGTACATTTATTCTTTCTCCCCCTCAGATGTGTAATTTTATTCTGACCTGTTTGAGGGTAAGTTATGGAAATTTTCCCAGTTTTACCCTAAATGCTTCACTGTATATTTCCTGGGATCATCCCTCGTGTCACCATCAGTTATAGCACACTCAGTGTTTAACTCGTAGCCCACACTGTTGCCTAAGCAATTCAGCTGCCGCTCTGCAGAGGCTAGCACACTGCATTCCACTGTGATGACCCCATAGTTCTTTCCTTTGACCTTCATCACATTGATGTCTTTTAAAGGTATAGACCAGGTGTCTGGTAGCGTATCTCCCAGCCTGGGTCTGTATCATGGTTCCTTATGAGTAGATCTAGTGGTGGTTTGGTTTGGTTTTTGGCTTTCTGAGACAAGGTCTTTCTTTGTAATTCAAGCTGGCGTTGAACCCACAGTGTAGCCCAGGCTGGCCTCAAACTCATGGCAGGCCTCCTGCCTTAGCCTCCTGAATTCTAGAATTACAGGCATACACGCCACTCCTGGCTAGTGATTTGTTTTCGACAGAACTATGACATGGTGTCATGCTGGAGGCAGCTTGTACCAACTCTGTGAAAGCCAATTGTTGCAGTTCTTTACAGCCCCGAGTTCTGTGCGGTTGCATCAGTGGCTTGGAATCAGCCGTGGTGGGAGCATTTTACACCATGGAAGCCAAAAAGTGCCTTCAATCAGAGCTCCTTCCACCTAGCTTTCCAGCTCTGGAGGATTTGCACTTAGCAGTGCAGAGCATTGTAGGGGTGAATGCGTGTCCTTCTCCGTGTCCCCATCTGAGGATGTTCATGCATGCTCCCTCAGTACTTGGCCAGAGTGGCATCTGTTAGACTCTTCAGTGGAGAGCTATCATTTTTCCCTTTGTAATTAATAAATAACATGTGAAGAGATACCCTGTGACTATGGAAATATTCTGTCCTATTTCTAATCAAAATTTGATTAAAGTTTTTATTTATTGAAGATTACTATGTAGAGTTTATGCCTTGGATCTGATCACCAAGTGGCACTCCACTCTTGTGGTTGTTGTTGCTTCCGTTGTTTATGTGATTTATTGTGTTTTGTTTTGAGACAGGGTCTTGCTATATAGTTTTGACTGGCCTTGAGCTCATTATGTAGCTCAAACTATCAGCAATCCTCCTGTCTCAGCCTTTTGAGTGCTGGGATCTCGGGCAAGTGCCACCATACCCAGTGGCACTCCACTCTTGTCAGTACTGCATGTCATCCATAAACCATTTGGGGTCATTTTTCCACAGTCTTACCTGTTCCTGTTTTCACCAAAAGCACGCTTTTGAAAAATTCCTGGTAAAAGATTGCTCTGGAGTCATAGGAAGTTAGTTATGGCATAGTAGAATATACATATACCAGTTCCCCACAATGAATGCAGTCAATCAGTATGTACAGCAAACATGCAACACAATTTTTTTTTAATTTAAAACTTGAGCATCATAGAATGGACAGAACCCTGAACTGGACATCTGGCATCCCCACATACTAGGGGACAAGACGTTACACTTCCTGTCCCTAGTGCTCAGTGCTGTCATCGGTAACATAATCAGATCATATTTTCCCCAGGTTACAGATTCTAGAACTTTATTTGATTTGGTTCTCTTCTTTGGATATAAGCACTTGTAATTCCCCTCATTAGCATGGCGTCTTGGTCTAGCACACTGCCCAAACAAGGACAGACGTGATATGGCCAGCCCAGAGCTGCAGCCAGGGACTCGGTGACTGAATTCGTAACGTGGGTTACAATTAGCTGCGTAGGTGCAGTCCGGGGACCTGATGCTGCTACTGTGTGTTACCCCCGTGCCTCCAGCCAGCTCCTCTTTCTTTCCCCTCTCCTCCTTTGTTTATCCTGATGGCCATGGAAGCCCACTACAGGCTCTGGTTGCATGGCTCCTGGAGGAGGCCCTCTCTCAAGTATTACTTCGCCCGAGGCCTATAAGGTTACCTCTGTTGCCATGGCTGGAAGTAAAAGATATCTGTCCTGGGCAGTCTGCAGCTCCCAAGGAACACTTACCCTTCAGGCATGAACTTCCAGAGGGCTTTCTAAGTCTTCATTAAATTTTACCAAGTTAAGTTGCTGAGAATCAGGGAAATAGTGTTTTTCTTCATTGAAGCATTGTTTTGTGAATGAGTCCAGTCATATTGGCAATTAGTATTAGGATTCAGAATTTTCTGTCTTAGATTTCTGAAATAGTAGTCTCTACAAAGGTTAGGTAGGGACAGAGGGCTTCAAAAATTGTGAGGGCTGGGCATGGTAGCACATCCCTGTGTTGGAGCAGGACCGAATGTTTGAGCCCAGCCTGAGCGATTTTGCAATTTAGTAACTCGGCAAGGGCCTGTGGCAAAGTAAAAAATACAAAAGGGATGACAACCTAGCACAATTCAAAAGCCCTGGACTTGATCCCCAGAACCAGGAGAAAAAGACAGAACATGGAACACTGCTGGACTATCCGATCTCTTCACCCTCCCCTACCAGGCTGGGTCGGGGCCGCCAAGAATAAGCTGGGAATTTGCACCCTCGCTTTTGGCGCTGCCAGAGCCTAGTTCTCTTCATGGTTCTCTTGCTCATTTCCACATTTACAATATTTAACATACTCCCTGAGGTCTCAAGGTGGGGAGTGTTTGGCAGCTTCGTGAAGATTATCTGCTTTAGGTCTTTTTTATCTGTCTGCTAAACTTCCATTTACTCGCTTGAAAAGTTGGCATCTAGCATAGACTCTAGGTGACTCATCTAAGCTGTGAGGAGGGAAGGGGGCCTCTGGGTATCAGAGAAGCTGGGAGGGATGTCCCAGTTATTGTATTCCTCTTTGGTTTTCATTTATCCCCAGATAATGCCCTTTTTCTCCTCTTTAACTTGTAAAGACAAATTTGGCTTAAGCTTTGAATTCTGATTTGAAACTCAGGGATGCTTTTGGATTCCCCTTTCTACCCTCTTCTAGCCATGAGTGCTTTTTTCTTTGAACTTCAGGATTTTGACCTCGCTAAAATTTCATCTGATCAACATCCACCTCACCTGTCGGATTAAAGGCTCCGTCCTCTTTCAGTGGATTAGAAAGCCTCTCTCGCTGGGCTGATAGGAGGCCCTTGATGCCCGCAGTCAGCCTGGCTCCTCTGTGATTGGATGGTCTATTCCTAGAGCAGATAACAAGCTTGGAATTCCAAGGCTGGGCTCTTACCATTATGGAAAGGAAACATTTTGAAGCAGATCATCTGCCTTGGGGTCAGAAGGCAAGCGTGCATGCCGGGGGATGAAATTAATTTGTTTTCATTTTTTCAGATCAGGGAAACATAAGTAATTGTCACTGTTAGCACTGTAGTGCCCTGGGCTTCTCTGATTATTTTGTCTCATATAAAAATTATTATTATTATTTTATTATTATTATGAGTGTTTTTTTGTTTGTTTTTTGACTATCCTAATCAGGTCACTTAGAACTCAGGATATAAACTTAATCCTTTTGAAGTTCTTGCTGACCATAGCTACCTCTGTAAATGTCCCTACTGCACCTTTATTTAAAGCCATTTGTTTACCCATCTTGATGTACTTGGAATAGCTAGGAAATCTTCCAGCTCAGATTCAATAAGTAGAAGGGAAGAAGAGAGGGAACAGGGCAATTTCCAGGCCCAGAAGTTTCGTGTGCCTAGGCTTCTGCTTTTTCAAGAACAAATTATACTGGACTTAGACAAGAAGAGGAGCTTACATGTGTAATTATTACAAGCTCACATACCACCAAAACCCAATTATTTTTAAAATAGGAACCCCAAGCCACGTGTGGTGACACAAGCCAAGCCAATAACCTTAGCACTCTGAGAGACTGAGGTAGGAGGCTCACTAGTTGGAGCTCAATCAGGACAACTTAGAAACTTAGGAGGTCCTTTCTCAAAAATTAAAAATAAAAATAAAGGCTGGTGATGTAGCTCAGTGTTAAGGCTCTGGATTTGACACTGGCTCCATTCCCATACACCAAAACATAGTTGTAATATTCCATGACGCAGTAAGTGCACGCATATGTAACAGCGTTTAAAGACACAGGTAAAAGTGCAGGTATTACTGACTGAGGAAGTGCTCACCTCACTCAACCGCCCACCCCCACTGGGCTGCAGAAACAACATTCTTGTTAACCAGGGCCCAGGGCCTGGGATTGCAATTCTTCTTGAGGATACTGCAGAATGAAAACCTAAAATGATCAATTAGAGTTCATCTGATTTCAGAAGAAAGCATCAGAATTTTAGGGATTTTTTGTTTTTGTTTTTGTTTTTTTTTGCGGAACCGGGGATTGAACTCAGACCCTTGCACTTGCCAGGCAAGCGCTTATTCTACTGAGCCATCTCCCCGGCCCCCAGAATTTTAGTTTTCTAAGTATTCAGTGTGACTGATTTTTTTTTTCTTTCTTTTTTGTACTGTGAATCAAATTTAGGATTGTGTGCTTGCCATGCAGGCACTAGTGGCTGCTGAGCTATATCCCTAGCTTTGTGACTGATTTTTTTAAAGCTTCCCTTTTTATCTAGAACAAATGAATATTAATTCAATAACATGTCACGGACACAGAAGTGAATGTATGTTTTAATAACATTTGTATTGTGTGTGTACTAAAGTCACCATGCTGAGATATAGAGAAAAATATTATCTCAGGAAAAACCACAACAAATGAATCTAGGACAATCCATGGAGCTTGTAAATGAATGTACAGAGATTTAAAAAAAAAAATTGTTTATTTAGACGTCTGAATTTTCAGCCTCAGAGTTCTTTGTGTTTCTTTCCAAATACTGCTCTCTAAACAGAACTCCCCACAGCTTAAATACACACACACACACACACACACACACACACACTTCCCCCACAGTGGTATGATCTGCATTTGATTGTAACCTGAAGGTGCCAAGCTGTGACAGCTTTCCACACTCCACAGCCATTTGCTGCAGCCCGAGACAGCCCAGCGCTTAGTGACGTTTTCTTTCTCCCCCAACAGGGTCAAATCGAAGTGGACAGCGAGACCATCTTCAAGCTAGCAGCTCTAATTCTGCAGGTAAGAGTGATCCAAGTGCCTCTGGCCAGCTCCCTTTTGTTTGCTGTTTTTGTTAACTGCCTGCAACTCCAAAACTTTTGCATGGGCCAGTGCCTGATGGACTTTTAAAGTTGTTTGCTAGTGAAGAATGTGAGCCACTGTCTCTGCTTTAAAAGAGTTTTGCATGCAGGTGCTGTGCATTGGGTAGTGCGGTATCACCAAGAAAAATGGAATTTAGACTGCTTGGGGAGAAAAGTTGAGCCCGTATTCCTGGAAAAGAGCGCTGAGCTACTTGAATTTGGGAAGCAGCAGTTGTTAGAACAGCTGTAATTTTCATTTAAATTTAGTAATTTTTGTATACAGCTCTTTGAGCTTGTGTAAAACCTCTTTAACTCATAAAGGAACTAGTAGCCAAAAAATAGTCTGTTTCTGTGCTAGTTTAAAAAGGAAAAATAAAATAAATAGTATTAATTGGTGTAAGGTCAGAATCCACTGTAATGTGTGCCACGTGGGTAGGCAAGCATTTGTCATGCGATCTTAGAAATGTAATGAGAAAATGGTGATCTGCAGTCTCTCATAAGTATTTGTCTCTTCTGCTTAAAATAACCATTTCATGGACACTAGCATTTTCTTATCAATGCCACGTTCTTGTCCTTTTGCCACACAGAAAGTGTTCCTTATGTTCACTCTTTAACACTAAACTTCGGGGCTTATCAATGGGTAAATAACCCAGAGTGAATAATTCATTTAGCTTAGAATAAATACATATTGATCATCTGTCTCTGTTTTATTTTTTTTTTTTTTTCAGGAAGCCAAGGGAGATCATACCAGGTAATGATTTCTTTTCTGAGATTACTATGCAAAATAACTCTAGCTGAATCTTTGTTTGTGTTCTTTTAAATAACAATGGTTGCAAAATCAAAAGAAAGTAGATCCCAGCAAGACTAAGAGCTCTTTCCTGCTCAGATAGAGACCCATTCTTTCTGTGAATGAATCTAAGGAGGAACCTTTCTTGCAATTTTTCTAGCCTGATGAACAGTGAATTGTAACCAGCTTTCCAAAATTCAGTTTTCTGTCATCTGTTAGTGCGATGAAGAGGTCTATTAAAAGTTTAGTAGCTTACATTGATTTTTTTAAAACTTGTAACAGTCGTGTGTCTAAAGAGTTGTAAGTATGCACCAAAAGATTAAATCCATCAGCTGCTTAGTTAAGGGATTAATAGGGGCCTTCTCTTGCAGCTGCCCCAAGGGGCCTCACCATTCACACACTTGACCAAACAGTTGTATTGTCACTGGGACACTTTCTCGGGTTTTAACTGCCTAAGGGCCACAGCATTGTCTTTCTGTTTGAATTCACTCACTACTTGCTCCATTCCTTCTCTTAAATTTGGTAGATGGGGGTAGAGTAGCCAAAGCCCATTAAGGTGGACCGGAGGCCTCTGATTAGGAACAGCTCCCAGGCCAGGGACCCACTGAAAGCCTGGCTTCTATCTCGTTAATGTTCGACTCCTGGTAAACTTTACCCGTAGATTATTTACAGATCACCTCATACTCATTCCCTGCCAGGTCTTTGAACAGTGTGCTCCTTAACGGACTGATAAAATAATGCCTTGCTAGCCTGACAACTTCCGGCCACTGAGTAATACTTCAGAAACTCCCAGTGTTGTGTTGTCCTCATCTGCCCATTCAGTTTGGTGATGAGGTCAAGGTTGCCCCTGAGCACCCAGGGGCCCACTCACCGCTTTCTCATGACAAGTCTATGTCCCTGTCTATGTCTATGTCTATCTCTATACCTATATCTATGTCTATATCTGTGTTTCCCTGAGGTTAAATGCTTTGAAAGATTCATAAAATACAACCGATAATTAATTTTTATAATAATATTAATCAACAGATTAATTCTTTAATTGAAAGAAAATTTATATACTTACTTTATGGAACGATGCATGACCTGGTTCTAAAATGGAAAAATAAAGCTAACTAAGGACTTTAAAAGAAAAAAGGAGAAGCTGTTTGTGGTGGCACAGCCCTGCAATCCCAGCCCTCTGGGAGCTGGAGGCAAGAGGATGACAGGCTCAGCCTGAACTAGCAACTTCACAACTCTGGGACCCGACCTCAAATTAAAGAATAACAGAATGGGATGTAGGTCTCTGTGAAGGACCTGGGTTAGGTCTTTAGTACTGAAAAAAAAAAATTGAAAGAAAGCAACAGAGGGTGGAAGGATAAGCCCATGTCTAGATTATTAGTAACAAGAGCTATTGTATTTCAGGGCCACCTTTGTTGGAGGGGTCATGTTCCTGGGAGTCTGGGAGGGGTGAGGAGTGTAGTCATTTTATGGGGTGATGTGGAAGTCAGCTTCAGGCCCCAAAGTTCATACCCTGCATTTTTTTATTGCTAACTGTTCCTCCCCTGATTCCTCAGGGTCAAGCAGAGGAGTCACACCCTTGGCCTCAGTTTACTCATCAATAAAATGGGACCAATCCCCATAAGACTCTAGTAAGAATTAAATGTATGCACATTGCCCAGAGCAACATGTACTGTGCTCTAAGCTCTTACACTTTAGCTATTATTATTATCATTAATTTAGCATCATCACCTACCATGCTTCTCATCCTAAGCAGAATTCAGTCTGGGCCCTTGACTACCTCTCAAAGAGAGTTCTGAGACTAACAGGGGTCTGAAAAAGCTTAAGAAAGCATTAGAGGGCCGGGGTGATAGCTCAGCGGCATATGCGCCTTCCTGGCAAACACAAAGTCCTGAGTTCAATCCCCAGTACTACAAAAGAAATAATATAAATAAAGAAGGCATTGAGGGGAACAAAGAGAAGGGTCAATCTAGAGCAGATTGGTAGGGAAGATCCTCTCCTGAGGCAGGAGAAAGCTTCCCAGAAAAGCTGTTGGAATAGTCACACCTCAGTCCTAGGACTTCAAATTTAGTGAGTTAATTCTGGCCAAGCCCAATGCAGTCCCTGTTTAACTTCAGCGGGGCCACTAGGGCAAAGAGGTGTCACCATTCTGAAATTGTCCAACTGCATTGAGTACAGCGAGCGTGGAACTAGGTCTTACACAGGCCGGAGCCGTTCATCCTTTATGAGCCTCACTTTCCTCATCTGTAAATTGGGAGTCATCAAAACAGAGACTTTGGCTGGGTGCCATCGCACAGGCCTGTTGTACCAGTTACACCAGTGGCTGAGGCAGAAGGATGACAAGTTCAAACCCTGCCTGGGAAGTGTAACTAGTGAGCAAGACCCTATCTCAAAATAAAAAGGGTCAAGAATGTAGCTAAGAGCGAAGGCCCTGGCTTCAACCCTTAATATCAAAAAAGAAAACAGAATTTGTGCATTGTTGATGGCACTATGGTAACTCATGCCTTTAACTAATAGGCATCTCCCAAGGCCTAAAATGTACGAGCACCTGCCTAGACCATGAGGACGCAAAGATCCGTAGACAGCTGCTGGCCTCTGCCCAGGACCGGGTCCTGGCCACTCAGTGGCAGCCCTCAATCACACTTTCCAGTTGGTTGATGCAGCTGCTGGCCTGAGAACATCACGAAGGTTTCTTGCAGGGCTGTATGCATTGCTAAAACATGTCCCCAGACACCTGCTAGAGCAGGCGTTGTGACTTCTCAGTGGGCATGGAGGCTGCACACCCAAGTGTGGAGGCAGCTCTGGTGCACTCTGGGCCTCTCAGTGTCTGCATCTCCTGAGCCTGCCTTGCTGGTGTCTCAGCTTCCAGACCCATCCTCCAGCTGTCTCCCCTCAAAGGATGTCACCACTGCTCCTGGCCCCTCTCTAGGCCCCCTCCTTCCCCCAGCCTTCTGCCGCCTGTCCTGCAGCCCCCTGCTTTAGCCTCAGCTTCCTCAGCCTTCCTTGCCTTCCTCCCCCCAGTCTGACCAGAGAGCACATGTACTGTGCACGTCATCAGCAGTGGCACCCAAGTGCTCACAGTGACATTATTTAAAATGCTCATGGCTGGGGAGATAGCTCAGCAGCATAAGCGCCTGCCTGGCAAGCACAATGTCCTGAATTTGATACCCAGTACACACACCTGTAATCCCAACTCTGGGGAGGCTGAGACAGGAGGACCACTACCAGTCTGCACTGTGTAGTGAGACCCTGTGTCAAAAAGAAAAAAAAAAAAAAAAGCTTATGCCCAGGTTCGGCTCATCCCACCATGATAATTATCATTCTCATTGAACACATCATGATTGTACAGCTCAAACCCATAGGAGCAAAGAAAGCCAGAAGCCGGAAAGAAAAATAAGCAAAAGACACTTTCTCCCTGCCTGCCTCCCTCTCCCTCTCTTTCTCTCTCTCCCCTCACCACCACCACCCCTGGCCCAGGCTGGGCAACAACCTGTGATCCTCCTGCTTCATCTTCCTTCAGTGCTGAGATTATAGATGTGCAGTGCCAGGCCCAGCTTGGCTAGTTTTTAAAATCATTCAAGTTCTCTCCTGATCCCATTGCCTTCTACAACCTGGCAAACCCACTACTGCCACCCTAAGATACGGATTTGACCACGGTTGCTTACTTCTGAAGTCTCTCAGTTTCTCACTGCATCCAGATGCCTGCCTTTCAACACCCTGTCCTGGCATTCGTGTATACTCGGTCCACACTCTGCTGCTCCTGCTCCTTCATATCTGTTCATGCCTCTCTCCTCTTTTTCTTCCACAGACCCATTCTATTTTGCCTTCATCATTTTGTTCAAACTCTTCTTAGCTGGATGGTCTTATGATTGTTTTGTGTTTGCAGTGGGGGTTGAAGCCAGGGTCTATGGCCTTGTGTGTGTTGGTCAAGCACTCTGTCACTAGGTCTAGGCTGCTTTTAAAAGCTAGCCAAGCTAGGCATGGTGGTGCACACCTGTAATCTAAAAAGTGTGAGAGACTGAGGCAGGAGGATCACAAATTGTAACAGACAGACAGACAGATACACTGACTCACTGACACCCTTGCTTATTCTGCTTCCTGGCATGTTTCCTTCAGAGTATTTTAAGTCAACATTATCATAACCAGAGGAAATCCTGCTTTCTGAAAGTTCATTAGAATAGTGGAATGGGGCTCCCATTTTCTTTAAATAGCTGACAGTCTGAATTTCCGAGTCAGCCCTTGCCCCGCACAGATAAGAAGCTGCTGGGGTAATACAGCAGACACAGATGGAGCATTCCTGAAAGCTGACCCGAGGAGAAGGCGAGACTTTATCACCAAGCCACTGGCCAGCCCCAAGCAACTTTGTACAAGCAGGGTTTTGTTTTAAGACCCTAGAAGTTACCAAGTAACTATGTAATTAGGGGGCTTCTCTTTATGAGAAAAATGAGTGCCTACAGTTTTCAGTTCATGCCAGGATAGAATAAGTGTGTGTAGCCCCCACCTCCAAGCAGGAAGGAAATATTCCCAATTTACAGCTGTGCAATAAAAAATATTGCTGTTAAAAAAAAATACTGCTGTTTCCCATAGGAAAAGAACATCCCTGGATGCCCTGAATGTAGGTGAATGAAAGGAGAAAGCAAAATCAAAGACTTGTAAGAAATTTGCCCTTCAGTTCTTATGCCCCTGGAGCGCTTAGAGCTCTAAAATATTTCACTTCCAGGACCTTCAAAGTGAATTACAGTAGGAAAAAGAGCAGCTCAGCTCAGCATGTGGCATGTGCCTGTAACCCCAGCACTCTGGAAAGCTGAGGCAGGAGGATCCAAAATTAAGCCTAGCGTTGTCACTTTATTGATTTTGTGAGATATTTCTCAAAAGAAAAGGGCTGGTTTGTAGCTCTGTGTGAAGACCCTGGATTACATCCAAGTACAGCAAAGGAGAAAGGAAGGGAGGGAGGGAGGGAACAAGGG